AGGCTGTTTCAGGGTGTGGGTGGCAGGCACTGGTAGTACAGGCTCAAGGTGTCAGTGAAGGTGGTACAGCCATGGTATCAAGGGAAAACATGGCTGGGTGGACCTGGAGATGACAGGATCGGACATTGAGAAGTATCCGATGATTGAGATAGCCTGTCTGATAACTGACTTTGATCTTAACATTTGACTGAAGGTCCTAACCTGGTTATCGGACAGCTGCAGGGAGATGCTGGAGAGCATGTGGGAAGTCAAGGCAGTGAAAGAGTGTACAATTGTATTGCAGCAGGCAGAGTATGAATTTCTGTCTTTTTATTACAGCAAACTCCTCTGGGAGCTCTGTGCACTTACAGGGAATTCAGTTCGTGCAGATAAGGAATTTCTTGACAAATACATGCCCCAGTTCATGAATCATCTTCATTATATGTGAACACTGTCTAACAGTGCAGACTCTGCTGTGCAGGCCCTGCTATCCTGAAGAATATGAATTTGTTCTGAAGAAGGCTGCTTACTGAAAGCATCAAAGGGCTTCAGTTTTAGTGAAATTAAAAAAAAAAAGACAGGCGAAAAGAAGAGGAAAATGATAGAAGATGGGGAAATGAGAAGACTGAGTTGACGCCAGCTCTCAAGCTGCATAGCCCCCTTGTTCTCCAGAAGCCACCTTCGTGTCTCTCTTCTGCTGATAACTTAGCAGAACATCTTTTCAAAAGCTAAAAAAAATTAACGTCAACTTTGCTTCTCCAGATTCTTCAGACAAAACATCACTATTTGTGTCTTCTAATGTGCTGTTTCTCTTACGACCAGCAACTCCTTTGTAAGCTTCAGGCCACGCCCACCCCTCAGTCTGTATCTGCATTTTCTTATTGGCCATTCTTTTTGTTTGAAAAATAAATAATAATGTTAGTTCTATTGAAATGCAAAAACAGCAATAACAACAAAAATCTTTTCAGTGACAATAGTATAGTAAGTTAATAAATGAATGAAAAAATTTTAAAGACATTTATAAAGCAGTAAGTATCTGTAAGAATATTTTAGATAAGTAAAGGATAGATTATATAAGAGATGAGTAGCTTTATAAAGGAAATCTCAAAACAGATAAAAAGAGATTGCCAAGTTATTACAAATTAGTGTATTAAATACACACTAAAAAGATTGTTATTCATGCCTGTTATTAACAAGATTAAAAGGCATAATTATGGCAGTATGAAATACGAAGTTATTTGAGAATACCATAGAGCTATTACCCTCCACCTTAATGATAGTTTTGTGAGACAGAAAAATTTCTTATATGTTTATACAAATATGTCTATATGTTTATGATCTCATGCAGAAATATAAGAGGGAAACTGGGCAATAATAAGGAATATTTTTAAAAGTTAAATGTCATTTTTTTTTTAGGTAAAGGAAGCAGCTATTGTGGAGATGTGTTTTAATATGTATTCCTCAGGCAGGGAACATAATGAAGTTCCTAAAGTGAAAAATAGCTGTTGTCTAAGGAACGTATATGTACACACATGTATAGGCATACCTGTGCCAGTCACTTAATGGGCATAAGGGAGATGGATGGGCAAAGAGCTGAAGAATAGATGAATTCTATTGTGTGCTGAGTGAGGTTGACATTATTTTCACTGCAGTGAGTAACACCAGCTCTCACTTAAACAGGTTGAACATTTCCCTTTGTTTGTTACTTGGCAGTATGGAGTGTTCAGGACGAGTTGCGAAATCAACTAAGATGATTATATGAGTTCTGTAGCTGAGAGATAATGAAATTTGAGTGATAGTGACATAGACAAGGGAAGATACAAGGTCTATTTTAGAGGTAGACCCTGCAATTTGCGGTAGTGTAGATGATTAAATAGGAGTCAGTCTAAATCTTAAAAGGGATAGATTCTTTTAAAACCATGAAAAAATGTTTTGGCCTCAGAACTACCTCAGTTGGCAGATTTTAATTAGAAAAATAGTAAAAGAGATTGATGGCTTTGCTTTTGTTATTTGAATAGATGATAATCATTTATTCAAACAGATAAGACTGGAAAGAGTTTTTTGCATTTAAAATCATGATACAACCACTAGTCAAAGTATTTGAAGATTAAAGGGAAAGGAGCCCTAGCTAAGACTATGGGCACCTAAACACATGAAGTCTGGTATCTGGGAGTAAGTGAGCAGAGGAAGAGAATGTAAGTAAAGGCTGAGAGGAAGCAATGAGTTAGTTCATAAACAGCTGGTACAGAATGTTTAAAGAGCATGGTCAGTTTTGTCAAACGTTGCTGAGGTGGAAAGTAAGATAACCAGTGATCGTTGACTTTAATCGCACAAATTCTAAGTCACTTGACATTTCTTTCAGGTGCTTTTATTTTAAAGTAGAGAGAGGGGGCTTGGACTGGAGTGATAGGTAGAGTTGGAAGAGATGCCAGAGCATATTTACATGATAGTAATATTTTTCTAACAGAGCAGGGATAAAAAAAGAAGAGGTACGTCTACAAGAATGAGTAAGGTTAGGCATTAGTAACAGCAGAGAAGGAAAATTTAAGAAAAGTGTGGGCGAAGCAACTAAAAGCTGGTAGATTTGGGGATAGAATGATGGGGTAGTTGTTTTTTTTTTCCCCTTCTTTTGGTCCAATGTGAAGTAGTTTTTTAGGAGATTGAAGTTGTAGGAGACAAGATGATAATACAACAAACATGGATTTAGGAGAGTTATGCATTATTGCATGTGACAGTGAGATTTGTCTTAGTTCAGAGATACTAGGTGTGTTCATGTGTATTTGTTGATTATTGATAGTTTGGTGTATGTTTGCTTGGGTCTGTGTCATGAAAGTATGTTAATGAGAGAAGAGGAAAGGATTTATGTACATTTGAAGGAGTCCGATGATAATAGACCATCAAACCTAAAGAGTAAAGAAAGTATGTAAAAAGAGATACAGTTATGCATCTCTAATCTGAAAAATCCAACATCCCCAATGTCTTCAAAGTCTGAAATATTTTGGGTTCTGACACAATGCCACAGTGGAAAATCTCACACCTTAACTTACGTAATGGGTTGTAGTTAAAAGATAGGTACACTAAAAATAATGTTTGGAGACATAACAACAGAGACGGAGGAAATCAAGAGAATCATCAGGTCATACTTCAAAAACCTGTACTCCACAAAACAGGAAAACTTAAAGGAAATGGGCAATTTTCTGGATAAATATCACTGACCAAAATTAAATCAAGATCATGTAAACAAATTAAATAGACCTGTAACCGCTAAAGAAATAGAAAAAGTCATCAAAAGTCTCCCAAACAAACAAACACAAAAAGCTCAGGACCAGATGGTTTCAGTGCAGATTTCTACAAGATTTCCGAAGAAGGTTCAATACTCCTCAAACTGTTCCATACAATAAAAACAGAAGGAACATTACCAAACTCTTTTTATGAGGCTACAATTACCTCAATACCCAAACCACACAAAGACATTACTAAGAAAGACAATTACAGACCAATCTCACTCATGAACATTGATGCAAAAATACTCAAATACTGGCAAACCAAATGCAAGAACACATCAGAAAAATCATCCACCATGGTCAAGTTGGCTTTATCCCAGAGATTCAGGGATGATTCAACATACAAAAATCTGTCAGTGTAATCCACCATGTAAAAAAAGCTTAAAAAATAACAACAACAACAACAACAAACACCCCACATGATCATTTTCGTCAGATGTTGAAAAAGTCTTCTAAAAGAGAACCCTGAGAGAGACATACCTGGATCTAATCTACATGGGAAGTAGTAAAAGACAAAATCTCCTGAATAAAATGTGAGCATGGGGATCATAGGACAGGGTAGAAAGTGTGGGGGGGGTTAGGAAATGAGGGAAATGAAGAAAAATATGTAGCTCAATAAAAATAATGTGTGAAATTGTGTTCAGTTTGTGTGCTTGTGTGCATGATATATATATATGTGTATGTATGTATGTATGTATGTATGTATGTATGTATGTATGTAAGGTAAGTTCATTGTATGTCTAGTCCAAGGTCCTGTCTTTAGGATTATTCACCATGAACATGCAAACATTCCATAAATACGCAAAACCCACAAATCTGAAACACATTTTGGTTCTGAGCATTTTGGACGAATATTATTTGACCTGCATTAGCAAATTGGTAAGATAAATGAATCTGAGGACTTGATAAGGTAAAAGAATGTCTGCAAAGAGGGTGCAAAAATAAGAGTTGAACAAGAAGCCATCAGAGTGAACTCTGTGACATTGAGGATTTTAGGTGATAATGATTATTGGTGGTGGTAGCACCGAGGATGTGACACTGGGTGGTTAGGAGCAGGACTGGGAAAAGCAGTCAGGTGGTACTGCTGTAGGAAAGTGACAGGATTGTGTGTCACTTCATGCTTACCACCAGGACGGCTATTGTATGTCATGATTTCATGTTAAGAGCGTGACAGTTCTTCATAACTGAGACTTTTGAAGGGAAGAAGAGAAAATAGAAATAAAGGACTTCTCTTTAGGAACTTTTAGAATAAGGTATATATTGGTTTTAAAGCCATAAAAAAAACCAGTTTTGATCTCAGAACTACGTCACTTAGCAGGTTTTAGAGAAATAGTAAAAAATTGATGGCATCAGATAATTTTGCTGGTTTTAGACTGAATTTTAGTGGAGACAGTAAAAAGGCTTGGCAGGGAAGAGAAGCATAAGTTAGTTTAGTGATGTTACTTAATCATTTAGGAACTGAAATGTAGAAGAGGTTGGTTTCTGATGGTACAATTTAAGTTGAAATGTGACCTAGCCTTCTGTAGCAGTCATAGCCAAGGATGAGAGAGTAATGCCTCCCTTTCAGAGCCCTTGGGCACTCGGTAAATACAGGACTGCAGTGCTGTGCACTGTGGAGGGGAGGATTATGTGGAGCACTGACTCAGTATGAAGAGAGACTCATCATCAAGGAGACTGGTTTTCAAGTACAGGTAACCATTTAATAAAAAATAAATAAACCTCTTTTTCTTCGTCTAGGTCACTTTTACAAAGAGGAAGTTCGGACTGATGAAGAAAGCCTATGAACTCAGTGTGCTGTGTGACTGTGAAATAGCACTCATCATTTTCAACAGCTCTAACAAGCTCTTCCAGTACGCCAGCACTGACATGGACAAAGTTCTTCTCAAGTACACAGAGTATAATGAACCACATGAAAGCAGAACAAACTCGGATATTGTTGAGGTAACACATACTTAGTAATATGTGAATTGCAAATAATATTTTAAAAATGACATTGTCATGTTTCTTTGTATTTCTAAAATATTGAACTATTTCTTAGAAGGACCTACATTTGCTATTTGATGTCTCAGCTGGACTATAAAACTTCCTATGTATTCAGACAAAATGAATTAAGCTTTATAAACTTAAAAATTTAACATTTAAGTATGTATTTTTAAACCAGTGATTACTTATTTTGCTTAAAAAACGATAGCCATAATTTTAGTACATCTTAATTATTTCATTATACTATATATTAGTGATTACTCACATTAAACATAATGCAAGGAAAGTAAATTTTCAACCATACCTTTATGTAAAGGAGTCCTTGTCTTATTTGTACGAACTTCATCTAGTGTCTCTCATAGTTTTGTCATCCTGTTTAAAACAAAGAAAGAAGGTTTCTGTTTGATTTTGTTTTTAAGGCAGAGATTTGCTATATAACTTAGGCTGGCCTTGAACTTGCCACCGTCTACCTCACCTTCATTAATACTTTGATTACAGGTTTAAGCCACCACACGCAGTTTTCTTGAATGTTTTCTGACATTTTAAGTTAATGTCACAATTACCTTGGGAGGTATTTTTATGTTTATTCTTTATATTTAGAGGCTTTGTTCCATTTTAATTTTTGAAGGGAATATTTTCTTTGTTTTAAAAGTGCTTTCATTGAGCTGGACAGTGGCGGCACACACCTTTAATCCCAGCAGTTGGGAGGCAGAGGCAGATAGATCTCTGTGAGTTCGAGTCCAGCCTGGTCTATAAGAGCTGGTCCGGGACAGGTTTCAAAGCTACACAGAGAAACCCTATCTCGAAAAACCAAAAAACAAAAAAAAAAAAAAAAAAAGAAGAAATGCTTTCATTGGCTTAGTTATGTAATATTAGAAAGAAATCGCTTAAAGTAGGCATTTTCTTGGAGAAAGTACTGAAACCATGTAAGGATGACACAGAACTCAATGTAAGAGAACGAATGCAGTCTGAGTTTGGATTTTACATTCGACAGTTGAAATGCAGTTAAAGATAATTATAACTATCATCTTGTGTCGGAATCAAATTTATTCACCTTCAGACATAATAATAAAGTTAGGAAAATGCTTTTAATTTTTTCCCTGAATCTTCCCATAATGTGGGTTCTTTTTTGGATATTGATTTAATTTATTGCTGGGGGAAAAAAATCTCTTTATTTTAAAAAGTAACATGTTACGGTTATTAATGAATCGTTTCCAATGATAAGTAAAAGCATAGTATAATTACAGCTATGATCAATTTACTGAGATTTAGTTAAGGAGTCACTGCTTTGAACCTCCCATGAAATGTGTTTGAAGTTTTTGGGTTTTGGGTTTTTTTCCAGAGATGGGATTACAGGGTTTCTCTTTGTAGCCTTGGCTGTCCGGGAACTCACTCTATTGATGAGCTCTGGCCTAGATCCACGTACCTCTGCCTCCTGAGTGCTGGGATTAAAGGCATGTGCCACCACTGCCTTGCCTAGTTTTTTATTTTACTTTTGTTACTCTCTTTGAAATGACTTTAGGAACACTCTTTAATGCAGTTATGTTTATGTCCTTTGACAATTACTGTTATTTAGCATATATGTCATATCTTAGAAATTATTTGCAAATCTTATAGTTTTCCCTATTAGACTTCATAAGCACATTTTGTATTATAATTTGGTAAACTAGATCATCTTAGTAAGTTTGCCAGAGACTTTAAATTTCCTTGAAATGTAAATGTCCCTAATGTGTTTCAAATGGCTTTACATTTTAAACATCTGTAAGTTTTATCAAAAGCTCCGCAACCTTTCACTGAGCAAGGGAGTAAAATTATGAGCAAGTAGGTATGCTGGCTACTTTCATTGAAGAAAACAATCTCCCTCATAATCCTAACTACTCTACTCTTTCATTGCAGCAGTGTTGTTCTTGGCCTCTGGAAATTGAGGGTACTTCGCACAACCTAAAGCTAACGTCTTTAGAGACTGTGAAGAATATAATCTGGTTTATACTTCTCAGAATTTTCAGACTACCTCATTCTTCATCTCTATTGTGGTCAGCAGTCAAAGTGTAAGAGAGTAAATCCCGAAAATTTTTAGCAGTCTCCTATGTCACGGTCTGCTTCAGTATATTCAATAAGAGAACTTTGGCAGTTCAATTGCACTTATTAGTATTTTTAACTGGTGTGTGCATATATGTGTGCTTGCATGAATTTATATGCACCACATGTGTGCAGTCCTGGAATTGGAGTTACAGATGGTTGTAAGCTACCATGTAGCTGCTGGGCACCAAACCCAGGTTCTTTGCAAGAGCAATAAGTGCTCTTAACCTCTAAATTATGTCTTCAGCCTTTACCCATTGGGATTTTGATGTTTTCTTTTTAGATGTAAGCCAATATGAATCTAATAGTCCTCTGTAAATTATAATTGTATAGGAGTAGCTATATTGTAAACATTATTGATTTGTTGTGGTAGGATAAACTTGTGAAGTTTGTTGTTGTCATTGATTTCTTTTTTCATACCATTTCCTTTCAAGCACTTGTAGTTGTAGGCAGGCACTTTGGTGTTCATTTATTCCTCTGTCTAAGGTATTTGAGGGTCTTCTGTGCTGAGGGTTCTGCAGGGAGCTGTTTAGAAATTTCTGATTTGAACCACAAGAATACTGTGCTTTTGTAAACCAGAGTTACATCACATAACTAAAGGTTTTATATAAATAAACTTCTAACAAGTTGACAATGAGGTTTCAGATTTCTTGGCTATCTCATGTGGGCAAATAAACAGTTGTAAACGTTTATAAGTTATCTGCTGTAGATGTGTTCTGTTCTGTTGCATCCTTAACATATAAGCCCTTTTGAGCTAACTATGGAAAGGATGGGCACACTGTGCTATTAGCCACACCTGCATATTGCTACTTGAGATTATGTGTATTAAGTTAGTGGGGTGAGAGTAGATATCCTTCCTAAAAATACTATAAAATTAATATTGTACAGGGTGAGCACCAACTAGCATGAAAATCTGAAATGCTCTTAAATCTGAAGTATCGGGCACCAAATATTTTGGATAATGGTAGTTTATATTTGAATATTTAGTTTTATTAAACTAAAAATATTAGAAACTAGCTCACATATAGAATATTGATTGTTCCTTATTTCTTATGTCTGTGTTTTATAACTAGTCCTAATATTCTAATTTAAACTTAAAATTTTTTTGGTTAATAAATAAAAATTTATTTTTCTAAGATTTTTTTAATTGACATATTCAATTAAATTCATTTAGGGATAAAAATAAAGCCTACAATGGGTAGGTTATACATACATACATGCATGCATACATACATACATACATATCCTATCCCAAGAAAGTTGAATGCAGATGCCCCTTAACTTGCAACATGACATGTCCTAGTAGCCCAGAGATTGAAAATATTGTAAATTGAAATCCACCTAACTTACCCAATGTCATAGCTCAACAACACATTGTACTGCAGAGTCTAGATTTTTTATCTGATGATGCCAAATTGCCAGTGAGCTGTAGCTCTGCCCCTGCCAGAATACTGTACTGTGAATCACTGGCCCCAGAAAAGGTGACAATTCAAAGTGCATTTTTTCTACTGAATACATACATACACATATATGTATATGTATATATATATGTGTGTGTGTGAGTGTGTGTATGTATGTATTTGTATTTACATGTATGTGGTCATATATGTTTATGGGTGAACATGAGGATATCAGAAGTTGACATTGGGGGTCTTCCTTAATTATTGAGGCAAAATTTCATCCTCAACTAAAGTTTCTCACTGTGTGGCTGATCAACTTGCTATGTAGATTCCCTTTCTCTCCCTCTCCAGCACAGAGATTACAAGCTGGGATTGTAACTGCCCATCTTTTATGTGATTGCTGGAGAGCTGAACTACTATCCCTATATTTGCACAGCAAGCAATTTGCCCAGAGCTATCTCCCCAGCCATGAAAATGCCCCCGTTTTAGTCTTGATTTTTCCTACATTCAAATTACAAAGCAAACTGGAACTAATATATTAAAGAAAAAATAGAGAATCATTATAAAATGCATCTATCATTAGAGAATAAAAATGGTCTTGGAGAGACAGCTTAGCAGTTAACACTGCTTTTGTAGAAGATCTGGTTAGATTCCCAGCACCAGCATGGTGCCTCACAACTGTCTGTAACTCTAGTTCTGTGTGCTTTGACACATGAATAAATAATGAAAGAAATCTTAAAAAAACAGATGGTGATAAAAGTGATTGGGCCGGGAATATATTACTTAAAGCCAGTAGTTCCCAAAATGTGATAACCTGATTATGAGTATTAAATCATCAGAGAACTTTTTCAGAAATGTAGTATTTTGTGCCCCAACCAGACCTAAAAGAAAATTCTTGAAGATGAGGTCCAAGAAATCTTGGTTTACTTGTTCTAAGTAGAATTGTAAGCCATCAGCTTGAGGTGAACACACTTTTTTGACACTGATTATCAAGCTTTTTCCAAACATTTTATCCTCCAAAATATACCCTGAATTAATTTCAGACAGTGAGCAAGCATGAGTCATAATTTTAAGAAATCTTTTCAAAGTTTAAAATAGTATACCAAATATTGGTGTAAGTTGCCATTATATAAAGAATTAAAACAATTTGTAATACTGTAGGATCTAGAGAATTTGCAGTTGACCGATACTTTGATTTTATAAACAATAGTGCTGAAAACGCCACTTCACATAAATATGAAATACAAAACAGAAAGACTATGATAAGAGCTGTTTTAGAAATTAGAATTCTGCCCTCATCCCAAGTCAGCTTCATGATACAATTTGTACGTGTGTGTGCATGTGTGTGTGTCTGTGTTTGTGTGTAAGTTAGCAACTCAAGCAACAGTTCTTCACCAAAACCACACTAATTTGACAAACAGTAACTGATGACAGTAGAAAATAATTGTTTTTCCATGAATTATTATGTTTCTAAAAATG